ACTCAGAGTTGTGGTCAAGACGTGAGGCGCACAACTCCAAAGATCGTGTGTGAACAGGATGAGTCACTCAGAGGGGCAGAGGACCCTCTATAACACAGAGTGGTTAGGGACGTGCAGTGTGTGCGGTCTGACACTGGGGGGCGCCCCCCCCCCTGGCTGGTTTGTGAATGGACGTGTGTGTCGTGTTCCCACGCTCTGACACTGTAAACTGATTAGAGTGATGTGATTGGCTCTGCAGGATCCAGTCTAACTGAACACTGACCGCTCTGTGATGTCTCTGATGTCTCTGATGTCTCTGATGTCTCATGAAAGACGCCTCAGTTTGTCTCATTAACTTCAATCTTCCTTTTCATGCTTCTGTCTTTGATCGCGGTCGTTGTTAGCTGACTCAAGTCTGTGTGGACTTGTCACTAAATCCTTCACACTGAACATGTAACTTAACGTTGTCATTTTATTTTAATTACAAAACAAACACTGAGATTCGGAGGTTTCATCCAGTTTCTGTTGCTACTCTGTCATTTCTAAGTTGTTGATCTTTTTATGGAAAGAGCCTTGAGATCAGGTTTATTATGATTTGATGCTTTACAAATAAAATTGAACTTGAATTGAACAGTGGTGTTCTGGTTCTGTTTGTATTCTGTAATATACAAATCAGGAGGACGTTGGAAGACTCTCTTTTCCATTTTCATACCACAGAAACAAAAGCATTGGATATAACTAATCGATTATCAGTCATGACAATAGGTTTGTTGTTGCACTGATAATCACAGAATCATCACACACACGGAGACCAGCTCCGATAAAATGACACATCTTCATACAACAGAAGAGTCTGAGTGTCTCTGCCAGCAGATTATACACGAGGCCTGTGACCACTCACACCACAGAACCCCTGTGAACCAGGGAATCATGGGAAACTTCTGGGTCGTCTCTCTGTGGCTCAGGAACCTGGAGGGAGGACGTGGAGGAGGAGCGGATCTGATCGTCTTCTGGCGTCTCTGAGTTCTTTTGTCTGTGTCCATCCTCCTCGTCTCTGACCACTTCTGGTCTCAGTTCCTCGTCCTCCTGCAGGGCGTTGAAGCGCTCCACCACACAGTGAGCCGTCAGTCGGGCCTCTGGGTCGTGATCCCAGCACTCAGTGATGGTGGCGCAGAAGACGTTCATCCCCTGCAGGACAGAGGACCAGAGTGAGACAGCAACGTGTCAAAGAAGTCGTCTGCAAACCAAAGCATCTGTTTTTGTGTCTGTGTCTGACCTGGTGTTGCGTCCAGGCTGACGGGATGTCGGGTCGTCCTCTGTCCCTCAGCACCAGGTCCCTCATGCTGTCCACACACGGCTGCTCACAAACCTTGGAGCCAAACGCCGGCTCGTACCGCTCCACCTCTGCACAAGTACAACACACACACACACACAGTGAACCACGATGACTGCAGCTCAGTAAATAAAGATGTTTCCCTATAAAATATTCTGTTAATGATAAAACAGAAAGAAAGATTGAATGAAGCCTTTATAAGAATTCATTAAAAACCAGCTCTTACCTCCGATGGTGTGGCAGCGGGAGGCCATCTCCCAGAGGACCAGCGCCATGGAGTAAACATCCATCTGTTTAAAGGCCTCCAGGTCTTCCAGGTTCACCCTGGACTCCAGCACCTCGGGAGCCATGTAACGAGCCGTCCCCACCTAGACGGGACGACACGGACGTCCAATCATAGACGACCAGGACATCACACACAAGTCCTGCTTCATGAGCAACAACTAAACCAAAACGTCTTACCTGTCCACTGTTGGCGTAGTCGTCTACAGTGAGAGCGAGGTCCAATCTTAACGCCAGACCGAAGTCACACAGAGCGCACTCCGTCCTGCTCTTCACCACGATGTTGCTGCTCTTCAGGTCGCGGTGGGCGACCGGCACCTGAAGCATCACAGGCAACGAGTTCATCTCATCTCATCTCAAACACTTGACTGTACTTTGAAAATGTTCCCTGGAGCTGAATGTTTACTGATGTGTTTTAAGATGAAGCTCATTTCTAGTTTTACCTTTGGAACCCCACTGGGTGTCGTGTCACTGTGGAGATGAGCTAACCCTTTAGCAACGCTCCCGGCCATGGCAACAAGCTCCTCCCAGCTCAGGATGTTTTCTGTGATGAAATCCTGAAGGTTCCCGAGGCTGTGATAGGCCAAAACTAACCAGTACTTTCTGAGCGTGGGACCGGGCGGACCCCTCTCTTCAGCTGCCAGGAATCGAACCACGTTGTCATGCTCCAGTTTGGGGTCTGTGAAGATGTTGCACTCGTTTCTCCACGAGACGTACTCTATGGCTGGGAACACCTTCACTGCCACTGTCTCATAACTGTTAGCTCCTCCCCTCTCACCCTGCAGCAGACGGGCCCGCCACACTTCAGCAAAGCGACCCTTCCCCACCAGGACGTCTAGTTTGATCGGCAGTGGTTCAGACAGTTGGCCGTGCCAATCTGTGAGGGCACTGATGATGTCACTGTCAAAAGATGCCCCTTTGACGTTGGAATGATCTCTTTCACACCCAGGACCCGTCACGCCTCCTCCACCATCCGCCCGAACCCCTCCGCCCCCTCGCGGCAGGTCCAAAGCCTGATAGAGCTCCGGGGTGCGTTTGGTGGTCCAGTCAGGGCGTGCAGGAGGGCCGGGTTTGTCAGGGCGGTGTGTGCGGTAGAAGTAGAAGGCAGCAGTGGCCACTATGGCCACAAGGACGAGAGGAACCAGACTCACCACCACCACCGGGATCACGTCTTTACTCTGCAGCTTAAAGAAACCTGCAGCGCCACAGACAGAAGACGTTATCCATTCATCCAGTCATTCATCCATTCATCCATTCATCCATTAATTCATTCATTCATTCATTCATTCATTCATTCATTCATTCATTCATCCATTCATCTATTCATTCATCCATTCATTCATTTATTCATTCATTCATCTATTCATTCATCCATTCATTCATCCATTCATTCATCCATTCATCCATCCATCATCCATCATCCATCATCCATCATCCATCATCCATCATCCATTCATTGATTCATCCATCATCCATTCATCCATTCACCCCCCTCACCATTGGCTCCCTTGTTGAAGATCAGTCTGTCGTTACACTCGTGTTCCCCCTGACAACCACAGACCATCATGGCTCCGTGGTCGGTCGGCTGTGGGATCATGTGACATTCTCTGGAGGTGAAGTTGAGCAGCAGGCCGGGGTCCACGCCCTCTAGTGGCAGACTGGGCTGGTGACACATGGAGTTCACCGTCATCGTGTCGTTGCTCTTCCTCCTGAGGAGACAACAGCTGATCTGAGAACAGCTGATCTGAGAACAGCTGATCTGAGAACAGCTGACCTGAGAACATCTGACCTGAGAACACTGACCTGAGAACATCTGACCTGAGAACACTGACCTGAGAACAGATGACCTGAGAACAGCTGACCTGAGAACAGCTGACCTGAGAACAGCTGATCTGAGAACAGCCTG